GACGATTAATACGATTAATGCCACCAGGCAGACTGACTGGATAGTTCCCCTGTCAGTCCGCTCGGTGCTCCTCTCCACTTCAAATATGACGAACATTTAAACAAAAGTTCTGTAATTTATTTATCAACACAATTTAAAATTTGAAGTAAAGCCTGAAGTCTGTGATTTTGACACAGTTTGAAAAAGATTTTTACGAAGAGCAAATCTTTTCCACTAAATTGGTCATGTGACTAGGACATACAGTAAAGGTGTCCAGGGACTCCARGGGATTAATCGTCAAATTAATCGTTATCAGCTAAATACCACAATTAATCATGATTAATTTTTTTGCCAATATCGCCCAACCCTACGTGTTCAATACTTATTTTACCCGCTGTATATTAAAGGAGAAAAAAAATGTTAGACTAAAATAAATTTTCTTCTGGCTTGTAGTTTTTATTCCGTACAAAATTTGATTTTTTTCCATTTCTGTTAAGAGAAATATGTAGTTTTACCGGTTTGATTACTATTGCATTTATAGTTTTACTATGAAAACCTTGTTTAGTCTGTTGTTCAGAGAGAAGCTTTATTGAAAAGTCGGATGATACCGATTTATTTATTTATTTATTTATTTATTTTGAAATAGCTGACACTGTCCGGTGTAATAAGGTCACTTACACCTTCAATGTTCCAATCTTATTTTATTGAAAAACATTGAACAGTGTTCTTGAAACAATACAGACTTGTTGTGACTGGACATTAGGTAGTGCTCACAGCAGAGACAGTGGTTGAGTTATTAAATTTTTTTGTATTTTTTTAGACCGTTGTGGAGTTTGATGAGATGCCGATCTTTTCCACCGATCTTATCTAAGTATTGGCCGATCTCTGAGCTCCCAAAATTAAGGAAATCGGCCGGGCAATTTATCGGCACACGCTTAGATTTTACAGCCTCAGTAGCTGTTGCTGTGTGGTGTTGTCACAATCTCTTCTCATGCTTTGTTAGTATTTTTATTTTATAAACTTGGGGTGGCTTAAAGCCTGATGAAGTGGTGACAGAATTTGAGCTGGATTAATCAACAAACAGATTTATTACTGAGAGAAAATTGATGACGAGGCACAATATCTTTGTATTTAGTGGGGGAAAAGTTAATTGCAAAGTGAATTTCTAAACTACGTTAACTAATTATGTTAGAAATAGCAAGAGTTCCTTGTTTTTGTGTTACTGCCAACATTAGTTTACAGTCGTTCTCGTTGGAAGTTCACACATTTAATAAATTTGATCAAGATCTCTGTAAGACAGCGTAGCTGAGGCATTCAGGGATGAGCTGATTTCTGCACGGTCTTGTAGCAGTACAGGGTGTGGGTGGATGTTGTCTTGATTTTCTGCGTGGTTGTTTTAACTCTGCTTGCATCACTTGTCAGGGTCGTGCTGCATCCCCGAGATAAGGCAGGCTTTTATTTTCACAGATGTCACTTCTGACTCGCAGCGATCAGGAAACATCCTCTTGTTGTCATCATTAAAGAATAAAACTGGGGATGTTGRCATTCTTATGAGCTTTGAGTACATTTAAAATATTATCTGAGAGTTAGAACAATATGCCACTGCAGCATGTTTTTAATAGCAAACAGTGCCATAAATACTGTATTGGACTATAATCTCAATTTAAACATATTTTTTTACCACTGCTTTTAAATTTGRTTTGATTCCAGGTMTATTGTARCAGCTGAGTTCAAATTCAATTCARAAATACTTTATTGATCCCAGAGGGAAATTAGGTAAAGTTGTCGCATTGTTCTTTGAAATCCCATGTGTCTTTCATCTTTTGTTGGATTTTAAAACAATTCCTCTCTTCCTTTTTTCTCCTGCTCAGCGCATGAAGTTCCTACTGCTGCAACAGAAGTACTTGGAGTATCTGGAGGATGGCAAGGTGCTGGAGGCTTTGCAGGTCCTCCGAGGAGAGCTGACACCACTCAAATACAACACAGATCGCATCCACGTACTCAGCGGGTACTTTTATTTTATTATTTTCATTCGTTTATGTATTTATTTTTGTTATTGGCGCTGGTTTTCATGGCTGTCGTCGGCCCTATCGGCACAAATGCAAACCAGKTTAGCGGTGCCCAACCCTGGTCCTTGATGGCCACTATCCTACATGTTTGTCTGCTCTAACACCTGATTTGAAATAGTGGGTGATAAATTGGATTCTGCAGAACATGAAGAGGCAATTAAAACATATAAGCCATGTAGWGTAGTGGTCTAAGTCTTACTGCTGTGACTAAAAATAAATCTATTTTATACTTGGTGGATTTGTGCCACATCTGACAAAYGTATTGATTAACTAATTTTGGGTAACAAAAAACTGTGAGATTAAAACAATAAGTTTTATCATGGAGATTGGTTATTTAGGCTTAAGATATGTTAGTGTAGTAGACAGTTTTATTCTGTCAAGTTCTCAATGGAATATATTTTTATTTGTCACCTTGAACAATAATTTAGAGTCGGATGTATTTGCTGCTAATAATGTTGATTTTTCCCATGTGACRTTTAAGTGTGTTGAAGCCATTTTAAACCTGACAAGAGCTGACGGCGGTTTTAGATCATTACTAGTTTTAGCCCTATTGCTATAYGTTTTTTTTAATTAGTTCATTAGGTTTATAGAATTACCCGTAGACTACATGTTCTGGTGTTTGTTATATTGTTGGTGGCTCAGTTGTTTCTCTCTCTGAGAGAATCTCTGTCTAAACTTATTTATACAATTCTTATTATTTCAGCAAAGAAATAGGTTTTTTGTAACTAAATCMAATGTTAGAAAATAATCACTTCATACTGTGAGCTTAATTGCCTTTGCACAAAATTACTTGAATTAAAAATAACTTGTGATTCTGTTTTAGTTTTGTGTAAACTCATCAGCGGTTTTCAAATTATACTCCGGAGGCTCGTTTAGAGTCAGCAGTTTGCGACATTTATTGGTTTTAAATCGTTTTTCTTTTTAATTCAAGTTGTTCGTAATGCTAAATCTACTTTACTCAATGAGGATTTATATGTATTCATTATGTGTGTTTTATTTTGCTTAAATGGTGTCTTTGTGTTTTTGTGCAGGTACCTAATGTGTAGTCATGCTGAGGATCTTAGGGCCAAGGCAGAGTGGGAGGGCAAGGGCACAGCTTCACGCTCCCGGCTGCTGGATAAATTACAGAGTGAGAAGATGTTTCTACATAATGACCTTGCAGCTCTAACACGTTTCCAGACTTCTCAACACACATTTCATGTGCTGAGGCTGGTTAGTGTAGTTCTCTTACTGTCTTCCAGCCTACCTGCCGCCCTCTGTGATGCTGCCTCCTCGACGACTGCACACTCTGCTGCGGCAAGCCTTGGAGCTGCAGAGGGATCGTTGTCTTTATCATAACACCAAGCTGGATAATAACCTGGACTCGGTCTCCCTTTTGCTCGATCACGTTTGCAGCAGGTTGGTTCTGCAGTGAGCAAAGCTGGCCTCTTTGCTGAAATATCATAATGCAGCAGCTCATGTGTATCATTTTCATTTAACCTTTATTTCAACAGGCAAAACATTAAGAACAGTTTGACCTCATTAGGAAATGAAAACGCTGAGGGATGTGTTCTTATAGCCAGTTTATATGTTGTTCAACAGGTTTAACGTATTTTCTTTTAATAGTACTGAATCTTAATTTTATCCACTTAACCACTTTTTTTTCTGCACTACCTTTTTCTATATTCCTAATTTATTAAACCTCTGTTGTATTTATTCTGCATGTTTTATTATGTAGTTACTATTTGAATATACAGTATATTATAAATATTTATTTCAATGAGACATTTATTTTGGATTTTAATGTCGGATCTGTTTCTGTGTCACAGGAAGCAGTTCCCCTGTTACACCCAGCAGATTCTGACAGAACATTGTAATGAAGTGTGGTTCTGCAAATTCTCAAACGACGGCACCAAACTAGCTACTGGCTCCAAAGACACCACAGTCATAATCTGGCAAGTGGACCCGGTGAGTGTGGAAACATTCATCTAAGTGTTCTTTTAAATCTACATTATAAAAAAAATATTATTCATACTTAAATATTTGTCAAAGATCTGCGTGCATTGATTAAAGTTTAAAAATWTAATTTCACTTATTTTAGCAGGAAGCAGTGTGGTATCTGTGGGGAACAACCCAAAGCGTTAAGTTTGTGAAAAGCAAATACATTACAGGTTACCTCAACTAAACGCAGCAGTAAAATAATACAGCTACAGTCTGAGTATTTCTGTATTAAAGACAGAGAGAAAAATTCTTCTCTAGAATGATCAAAAAAGGTAAAATCATGAACATGTCTCAGTAACTGAGTTATATATATTTAAATAATTTAATTCTCTTTCTAACTTGTGTAGGAGAGCCACCAGCTGAAGCTGCTTCGAACTCTGGAGGGTCATGCATACGGAGTGTCCTACCTGGCCTGGAGTCCTGATGACACCTACCTGATCGCCTGTGGACCTGACGATTGCTCCGAGCTGTGGCTCTGGAATGTTCAGGTAACATTTAAGATGTCTAAATTCAAGTTGTCTCTTTTCTTGACGAATAAAAACATCATCTGTTTCTGTGATCTCCGTTGTAAATCACATCGTAATAGTGACATTCTATTTTGAAAGGCCAGTATAATCTGATGKGATCTCAGTGTTGTAGCTTTGTGTCGCTATGACAGTTATGAGCTGTCATTATCATTAAATAGCTGTTGAAAAAAGTTTTTTCCCCTTTTATTTTAATTGTTTGTTTTGTGTATCATCCATAATAAAAATGCCACTAAATAAGCACCATCCACCACCATTACAGCAGGACTTCTTTGTAATAAACAAGTGAAATCAGCAGAYGTGTTTTCTTGCCAACATTGAGTTCACTTCAGACAGTCTCAGCACGCAGCAACATTGAGGATGTGAACAGAGTCAGAGGGAGAACAAGGAAATCAGCGATGCCAGGTCAAAGTGGAAAAATGTGATTTTGTTCTCTCGTGTTCTGAAACGAAACAGCCACTAAATGCTGTAAGGATGAGTCGAAAGAAAGGAAGTCATTTGAGGAAAGAAATCGAGCAGTGGCTAAGATAAAATGCAGAATAAACTGTGCCAACTTGAGAATTTCTGTAACTTATCGCCTAATTTAGTTTGTGTGCAATATTTTCTGTTTTCTAACACAAAAGCCCAAATGAGTTTGGGTTACATTAACCCTTAAACAATCATTTGACAATGTAGAAACTGTTAAAAGCAGAAAAATTCTAATCCAAAACAATAAAACAAATGCGTATTTCTACAGCTAATATARCTTTAACACATTATAGAATATACATAGAAAAAACTCTAACCTTTTTATCTCCTTAATGTATTCAGTCTTATGAACATGGCACATACACTGGTCCACAGTGATCATGTGTGTGCAATGATTGTAACTGAAGGGTTAATTTTGTTTTCTTGGATTTTTTTTTTCCCACTTCGTTCTGAGTAACTCAGTGGCTTAACCGTGTAACAGTTGCCCCTGAAATYCCTTAAAAGCCTTTTGATATTTATTTTATCACTCATCGGGTGTCATGCTAAAGGTAAGAACTGGAGGAGGTCGTCTGACATCCTGGTTTTCAGAAAAAATGCCCCCAGTAGCATCTGGAAATGTCTGCAAACATTTAAAGGCAGGAACTGCACCATTTTTGCCCACCAGTGGAACAAAGACATAGTTGTTAATGTCCGCTTATTGAATGGGACACCATTTTGAGAGGATTATTGTTATTATTATTATTATTATTATTACTATTATTATTATTACTATTATTA